ATCCGTAGAAATCATACTCTTAAGAATCCATCGAATACCCTTTCTGACAGCTTCAGAAGTGCACGATTCAACGAGCCGTCAGTCTCCACAAGTTGCTGCTCGAGACGGCAGTTCTGTAAAAGAACTTTTTCCAAATGATTTCAAATTTCACAAGTACTGACATCTTAGGCTGAACTGTGCGCATACTACGAAGGACTTGGCCAAAGAAATTGCCTGTCCAACCTTGAGTTGCTTTTCATCATAATTTCCCACGAATCGCAAAGACAAATCGCCAAAAATGTGATCTGCCGATCAACCGTGGAATGTTTTTGCAAGGAACATAGGCACCGATAAAGGCACAGTCCACGCTGATTGCATGGGCGGAGATAGCAAAGTGGCTTTCTCACTGACGCACTCCCATTTGCTATCCTGGAAGGGGTTGCTGTCTTCAGAAGGCGCGGGGGTGCGCCAACGTGGAAATTGTAATGACTGAGAGTTTCCGCCCATAACATCACAGTGGAACCTGCCTTCAAATTCATTCTATCTTCTATCTAACCTTCTCCCTCTCAGCGGCCACATCCCCAGCTAGCTGACTGTTTCGCTCCGTGAGTTGTTCAGTAATGGCTAACATTCTTTCGGCTTGTTGGCGGCATTCTTCGGCTTCATTCTCAGCAACCTAAAAAGCTCAGGTTTACTAAGGAAAATAGCTATTCAAATGAATACAAACCTCTCGTTCCTTCTCTGCCTGCTCTTGGGCGTCTTTCGCTCGCTGCGCTTGTTTCTGGCTGCTAAAAAATTATTTTACAGTACAGAAAAACTGACATTTAGGAAGAGAAAGCCTTTAGGATTTCAGGAACAGGAAGGTGCGTGCCGTATTTTTAGGGTGTTACCATGAATGAAGGTTATAATCAACCAGTGACTCACCTCAAAATCTGATTTTCGATGCCCTGTAGTCTTGAGATCTCAATTGATGCAGCTGCATGAGCTTCCTCTTCGAGTGACAGTTTATCGAGATCTTGCATTTGTTCTGAGGTCGATATTTTACTGAAAAGATTTTGATGGGAGATGCTGATGGAAAGGAACAGGAAAGAGTTGTGATAGTCATCGCATATATCAACGGCATCCGTACACATGTTTTGAGAAACTTTTAACAATGGGCCATTCGGTGTACTGAACTGTGTGACCTTCACACAGTGGTCGTAGTCTTGCCTCCACTAACTTACTTGCAGGGCTTCGTCTACTCCTCACACTTCTTCCGGATGCTTTCGAAACTCACTGTTTAATCGGCTTCTTTGCATTGAAGGATAACTTTCGAACTGACCGATTTACTGACCATTTTGAATAAGTTTTTGGCGGGTGGGTGGAAGCCGTCCTTGGATGGCCACTCGCCCAGAGCAAGTTCGAATCGAGTTCCGTCATGATACTGTAGAATCTTGTAGCGAGTCGTGTCGTCCATGTGTGTCCCATTCATTGTGCCGCAAGACCCTGTAAGAACCATAACTTGCATTTTCGTTTTTGCCGGCAAAACTAAGCTAGGAGCGGCGTATATTGGAGATCTAATCCACAAAAATTCGTGCTATAGAGAAGTCCTAATACGTACATGTCTCTGCAGTAGGACGGGACCCAAGGGATAAACCGCAGAGGGCCAGCAGAAGGATGCCGAGCTGAAAAGTTGTCAGGTAAAACGGAACAAGTGCTGCTACTCATAAGATTCACACATACCGTAGACATTTACAGCGAAGTCGCAGTAGGTGTCGTATGCAGGACTAGAATGCCCCACCACATTGGGCTCGCCTTTTATACGTATAGCGATGTGACGAAATCTGTTGAAACAGTTGGTTGAAAGAGATTAGCGCGTACTCCATTCCCCCTCCCCCCTCCTTCTCCCACGAGTGGAGAAGCTCTTGGCATGGCTGTATTGATGTTTCATAGGAAGTTGCCTACAGGTAGCAGCTAAAGTTCTTATAAGTAGCGCTGGACCCACCGGCTTTGGGTCCCTCTCCAGAAAGCTTACCTCTTAAATAACATGCACCAGAATTTTCCGTACCGAAGTGGGCGGATTACTCCTAAGATTCTTTTCGTGACGGGAAGGGTTTGTGAAGAAATTGTTGTCAAGTGGGAGAACAGCTACAGGAAGATAACTTTCTAAAAAAAGTTTTGAAGGGCGCACTAATGT